AACATATTATTTATAACTACAATAACCAAAGTAAAACCTTTCAATTTTCAAATGAAATCCTCACTTTTTAAATCCTAAACAAGTAACAAAACTTCCAACCAAAGACAAAAAAGTCGATAAAAGAATTAGAAACAAAGCTTCACTTCAGAATATAAACTACAATAGATTGTTCAATTACCGATAGAAAGTTATTTTCTTTGGTTTTCATCTTCACTTGAGTTGATTTTTGAAGATTGCTATGAAATAAAGTTTGTGCAACAGTCGAATTTTTTTCTCTCTTTTTTATTTTTTAGGTCAAGAGTATTTAAGATATTACACAATTTTAACATCATTTGGATGGTAGGAGGGGTTTAGTACTCACAATTCAAAACACAAGTCTTGAAGTGCACATTTTGATACCACAAGCTTTTTAAGTGCATTCACTTTAAACTACAAGTAGGTTATGCGTAATTTTCGCTTAAAAAAAATTAAAGTCTGAATGTTATTTCATTTAATTAAAATATAATTCGAAATTTAGATATTTAACTTATTAAATATTGATATATAGATTTGAAAATCAATTAGAACATAAAATCAATTTTAAATTTAGGTACTAATATTTAATAAGGTGAATTTTTGAATTTTGAATTGGGTTTTTTATTTTTAAATATAGATATCAACATTTAATAAAATAAAATTTTGAATTGAACTTTAATTAAATGAAAAAATGATGTCGTTTAAGGTTGGGACTATATTTTTTTTTTGTGGGTGTCGAAATTGATATGCATTATTTTTATATTTTCTTATTTTAATCTTATCAGTATTTATTTACTTTAATTATCCATTCTATAATAAAAGAAAAATGATTGGTATATTTTCCAATTTAACACACCTTTCAAAACTTGCCCATTTAGCAATCAAAATATAATAACATACAACTAATTTAGTTGGTTCCTGTATGTCATATGTATAGTTGTATTTTTAAATTTATTTACCTTTAATTTTAAATTAGAAAATAATAATTTCTTAATGAATGATGTATTATGTATTGTGTTGAATTAAAGGTGCACCAATCATTGTTCATAATAAAAATGTATCTCATATCTTTATCACTTTTTTAAAGGGTAATGTATAAATTGTCCCTAACTCATTAATCTAAAAATAAAATAAAAAATGTCTATTATGCCAAGATAGAGGGAGTAATTTCTAAATGGAGATTATTTATTAAATAAATAATATTTAAATAAATAATAATTATTAAAAATAAAAATTATTTCCATGGACATATGAGTGTTTATAGGAACCTAATACCATGAGTTGTTTTTTCTTTTGGGTTTTTTTTTTTTTTTTTTAACTCGATTCTTTAATGAACTTGGAGTTTATTGCATCTTGTAAATTTTATATTCAAGCTTGAGCTATAGGATTAGTGGGTTATATTTAGATTGTGATCTACACCTTCAGCCATACACAGCCTAAAATGGCATCATATGGATGCTAGATTGATAGCTATTATTATATACAAATTCAACCATAGATAGGTATTGATCCCATGAACCCTTCCAATCAAGAACATAAGCCCTCAATATGTCCTCAAGTATTTGAATAGTCTTGTCATATTGCCCGTCAATTTGAGGATGAAAGGCAGTGCTGAAATTTAAATGAGTTCCAAGTGCTTGTTGCAAGCTTGTCCAAAAATGAGAGAAGAATCTTGTGTCTTTATCAGACACAATGGACATAAGGACTCCATGAAGTTTGACTATCTCATTCATGTACATACTGGCAAGCTTCTCAATGAATGTGCTAGTTTGATAAGGTAAAAAGTGAGCTGACTTGGTCAACCGATCAACGATGACCGAGATTGAATCATTTCCTTTTAAGGTTCACGGTAAACCTATCACAAAGTCCATGGTAATATTCTCCCACTTCCATTGGGGAATAGGCAAAGGTAGTAGTTTCCTAAGAAGTCTTTGGTGTTTAGCCTTGACTTTTTGGCAAGTCAAACATTGTGAGACGAATCGAGCTATCTCCTTCCTCATGTCCTGCCACCAAAATGTACTATGCAAGTCACAATACATCTTGGTGTTACCTGGGTGAATTGTGTAGATAGTATTATAGGAATCCTCCATGATCTCACACCTTAAGGCATGATCTCTTGGTACACACAACTTGTCACCAAACCACAAGGTCTCATCATCAGAAACTCTAAATTCTTGCATGTGGGATTCCCCTACCTTTACCTTTTCCTTCAACTGTTGCACCTATGATTTTGATGATTACAAAACACATTTGAGTGACTAATTGGTTTATTTAAGTGTGTAGTTAAGTTGCTAAAAGATTGCAAGTAAACTTGGACTGTACTAAAAATAGACCAAAAGAATTGAAAATGTGTAGAGAGCCGGCTCTTAAAAGCTACAGCCGGCTCTGGAAGCTGCAGCCGGCTCTACGGGTAAAGATTTAAAGGTCCATTGTTTGGCGCGCACAGAGAAAAGACCCAGAGCCGGCTCTAACTTGGCAGCCAGCTGTAAAGGTGCATTTAATGCACAACGGTCGACTTATTTGAAGAATAATTAATATTGTTAAAGTCAAAATACCAAAGCCGGCTCTAGGCTTTGCAGCCGATTGTGGAAGAAAACAGAATGTGCAGGAAACCCGCAAAGCCGGCTGTAGAAATGGTGAGCCGGCTGTATAGAGCCAGCTCTAGGAAGGTAAGCTAGCTCTCTTGACAATCCTACAACTCGAGCTTTGCATCCTGCAACTCGAGCTTTGCATCCTGTAGAGTATTTAACGGCTAGAAACGGCTAGAAACGGCTATTTTCGAGCAAGGGCTATAAATATGGTTGGTAACAGATTTGAAGAAGTTTAGAGAGCATTGTATTGAATATCTTTACTTACCAATTTGTACTTTAACTTGAGTTTTTGATCTTTGAGAAATCTTTATTTGTAATCCTTTTTTTGTTCTATTTGTGAGTAATCTTGGGGGTGTGACTATTCCTTCAAGAGTGATTTGTAGAGAGGATTGTTTGGGTTTATCTTGTAAAGGGGTGAGATTTGAGAGAAAACCCTTATTCTTGTAAAAAGATTGAGTGGCTCATTTAAGCCACCCTTATTGTTGTTAGTGGAGAGTGTGAAGGAAATCCTTGGTGAGTGAAACCAAGGTAGAGGACTAGGCTCCAAGTGGTTGGACCGAACCTCTATAAATCATTGAGCAAGCTCTTCTTTTCTACTTTCTTTAATTTTGGTTTTGTGGTTGCAAAAAGGGGAGAATTTTTGGAACTCCAATTCACCCCCCCTCTTGGAGTACATTGAGTCAACAATTGGTATCAGAGTAAGGGCTCCAATTTGAAGGTTTAACCACCTAGGAGTTGATCAAGGATGGCTCAATTTCAAGCTCCTCAACCACTTGAAGGTTTGTCTACCACTAGGCCTCCTTTCTTTGATGGGACTAATTACAATTATTGGAAGAATAGGATGAAGATCTTCATGCTTGCAAATGTGCCCAAGGCATGGATTGTGACTATGAAAGGTCCATATGTACCTATGAAAGTTGTTGGAGAAAGAGAGGTGCCAAAGGAAGAAGTTGAATGGAATGATGAAGACTTGGGGAAGATCATGATCAACAACAAAGCAATCAACATGCTTCAATGTGCTCTTAATCCAACGGAATTCCATAGAGTATCCGGATGTGATACGGCCAAAGAGATGTGGGACATGTTGGAGGTAACACATGAAGGAACAAGTCAAGTGAAGGAGTAAAAAATCAATAGACTCATTTACATGTATGAGCTTTTCAAGATGAAACCGGAGGAGAGCATTCACAATATGTATACAAGATTGAATGATATAGTCACCAATCTCAAGGCTCTTGGTAAAGTTTATCCTTCTCAAGAAGTGGTGAGGAAAGTTCTTAGAAGCTTGCCTAAGAATTGGGAAGCCAAGAAGATCGCAATTGAAGAGTCTAAGGATCTCAACACTCTCAAGCTTGAAGATCTCATTGGAAAATTGATGACATATGAGATAGAAGTTCAAGTTGATGATGGAGTTGAAGTAGTTGAGAAGAAGAAGAAGAAGGATGTTGCATTCAAGGCTAGCAACCAAAAGGAAAAGAGTGAAGATGATGCTAGTGATGGTGAAAACATCTCCACTTTGATCTCTAGAGAAGTGAGGAGATTCATGAAGAAGAACACCAAAAGCAAGCTTGCAAAAAGAGATGAAGGAGAGTCTACCAAAAGGAGTGTGAAATGCTATAAGTGCAACAAGATGGGGCACTATAGAAATGAATGTCCAAATTTGAAGAAAGGTGAGAAGAAAAGCAAGAAGAGCATGAAGAAGAAAGATTTTGCTGCCACTTGGAGTGATGATGAGACTAGCTC